GACTGCCTGGAGGGGGCAGCCGGGCGGGCTCCACCCTCTGTGGTCCACACTGGCATAGGGCACAGTGGGGGCTTCAAGCGGCCCCTGGCGCCCTCAAGCCAGCCTCCAGCAGAGGGCCGTGGCAGGGCCAGTCAGAGCCCTGTCTCCCAGAGGGCGCCCCCCGTCCCCGACTATGTGGCCCACCCCGAGCGCTGGACCAAGTACAGCCTGGAGGACGTGGCCGAGGCCAGTGAGCACAGCAACCAGGCCGCCGCCCTGGCCTTCCTGGGCTCCCGGGGCCTGGCCGCCCCCGGCGGCTACGTGCCCTCCTTCAACCAGGACCCCTCCAGCTGCGGGGAGGGCAGAGTCATCTTCACCAAACCTGCCCGAGCCGGCGAGGCCAGACCCGAGAGGAAGAGGGGCCTGAGGAAGGCGGGAGGGCCTGGCGGGGCCGAGGGGCCTGTGGAGCTGGCCCACCTGGCCGGGCCCGGGAGCCCAGAGGCTGAGGAGCGGGGCAGCCCGTGGGGGGGCCTGCAGGAGGTGGGCGCGCCCGAGGGGGCCGTCCGCAGCGGGTCAGCAGCAGGCCCCTCGGTGGTGGAGACCGTCGGCTTCCACGGCAGCAGGAAACGCAGCCGAGACCACTTCCGGAGCAAGAGCAGCAGCCCGGAGGTCCCGGGTGCCGACGTCTGACCGACCGGAGAGCCTGCCCAGGACTGGAGGTGCCCCAGCCCCTTGGTGGGCTGCCTGGAGGTGGCACCAGCGGCCCTGGCTGGGGCTCAGGCGGTGGTCTTGAGCAGAGACCGTGGCTGCCACGGAGGGGCACACTGGGTACCCGTGGGGAACAGTAAAGGTGTTGAGTATTCCTCAGGCTCCGTGTCTCTGTGAACCCCATCTCGCCAGAGCCAGTGTGGCTGGGACCTTCCCTGCCCTCCAGCCTACCCGATCGTTCGTTCCCACACTTGGGCCTCCCCGACTTCGTGTCGGTCGGGGGCTTGGAGCGTTTTTAAAGCTCCGCCTGCTTTCATCGGCAGCAGAGCTTCCCACAGAGACTGAGGTCACCCCCCGCCCCCAGTCCAGAGCTGAGGTGGAGAAGGCCCCGGCTCATCCAGACGGGCTCACAGCCTCAGGTGTGCAGCTGGTGCCCCAGAACCCTGCGGACCATGGGGCTGGGGTGAGGCAGTTGATGAACTTGGTGTGAGAGGCTAGACTGTGAGCGTGGGTGGAGGCACACGGGCTCTCCCCGGCCCTGGCCAGTGTTGCCCCTCAGCTCCGTCCCACCCAGGCCATGTGTCCTGGGACCACGTTGCTTGGGCTGCTGAGTTTTGTGCAGGGGCATTGCGGGTGCAGCGAGCCCAAAGGCGGGGAGGGGGTGGTCCCCTCAGGGTGCTGGGAAGGCAGCAGGGAGCAGTCCCTGCTCTCCCGTGACTGGGGGGAAGGGGGCGGCCAGCCTGCAGTTCCGCCCCTACCCCTGGGCTTGGGGCCCCAAGGGAAGGAGGGGCTTCCCTGGTTGGCCACTCGGCCCAGCTGGGGAGCACAGGAGCCTGGACCCCAATCCCAGCCCGCGTGCTTTACTAACTTGGTCCTAAGTGCCTCCCCACCACTCCCCGGGGCCCACTTCGATCTGCCTGGGGCTGTAGCCCAGGTGTGGGTGTGCTTCCTAGGCTCCACCTGAGATAGAGCAGTTTGGGGGCTGCTGCCCGGGCTAGTCATGGCCCAGCGCTCGCTGTGCTGGTGGGATGCCGGATGGGAACCTGCCCGTGCAGGGAACCCCAGCCCCAGGTCTTAAGAGGCAGAAAAGAACCACCAACATTGCAAAACCCGATTGGTCTCTTGGAATACACAGGTTGGGTAGGAGACAGGTGTGGCCACAAGACTTCCCCCCCCACCCTGCGGGGAGGTGCCTCCGACAGGTGCTCTCAGGTGTTTGCTGTCCTGGCCCAGGCTGGCTGGTTTTGAGGCTCCAGCCATGGGGAGAGGGCCTGCTAAGCTCCCAGGCCCAGGGAGGCCACCCCGGTGGGGCCAGAGGGCCAGGCCCAGGGCTCTGGGAGACGTGGGCCCCAGGTGCTGACAGTCCAGGCGGCTCAGGTCTCCGAGGCCAGCGGGGCAGCCTCTGGGTGCTCCCTGCTACCCGGGCCGCCTCCGTGGTCGGGGGGCTGCCGGTTCCCGCTGCCAAAGTTGCACGAGTCTGGTGGGGAAGAAAGCCCGTCAGCTGCTGGGCGCCCAGTGGGGCAGGCCCAGGGGAGGAAAAGAGCCACCCAGAAGTGAGCGTGGGACGTGGTGGCTCCGATGGGGAGGGCAGCAGCCCGGTAGGGCCCTCAAGGCCATGCTCTCATGCCTGGCTGTCGGCAGGCTTGGCAGAGGGTATCTGCTCCACCTTAAAGACTGGCCGGCCAAGGGCCATCAGACGCCTGGGCCGTCCGACCCTCCCAGTACAGGGCCCTGTGTCCCTCCTCAGACACTCACGGCGGCAGGCGCTGCCCTGGGCCAGCGTGTCGACCATGGAGGACAGGAGCACGGTGCAGTAGTTGACCTGCCAAAGGGACAGGCGTCCAGGGCAGTCCCGGGCCGAGCCCTAAGCTCAGGCGCCCTCGCGGCCCAGGGCCTCCCGCTGGCTGCTGGGAAGGACGGGGCTGGAGGGCGAGGCCCCAGCTGTGTGTGGAGTGGACAGTGGAGGGGCTAGTGCAGGACCCCCTCGAGGGAGGGCACTCGTCTCAAGTGACTGAGGTGGGGCCAGGATGAGAGCCATCCAAACCCAGCCCTCCGGCCCGGCCCCACCCGCTGTGTGGACTTGGGGGCACGGCCGCCTACCTGGGACTCCAGACCTCGGATGCGCTTCTCCTGTTCTCTCAGCCCCGCAAGGTGCTTGGCTATGAAGTCCACCCTGTGAGGGCAGGTGGGCAGCAGGCTGATGGCCACAGGGCGCCCTGCACTGGGGCTCCTCTCCCCCCTCGTCCCCGCCCCCTGGGAGGGCTTGGGGTCACAGGCCTCTCTGGGTGCCCGAGTCCGGGGTGCCCTGGCCCTTTCCCCAAGCCCCCAGGTCTGGGCACACAGGACTCCCAGGTCCTCCCTGCGTGCGTGGTGGGGGCTGGGCACCCTCCAGAGGGGGGACTGTTCTGCCTGCAGGTGTGGGGCACCCAGGAGATGGAGGAAGGTGGGGTTCCACTCAGAGACCCCAGAGCAGGGAGGACACCATGCACATTGGTCCCTGGTCCCCAAAGGCAGGGCAGGCAAGGCCCCCCAGAGCCCTGTTTGGGGTCAGGAGGCCGGGTGCTGTGTCCCTCTCAGCCTCAGTTTCCCCAGCTCAGATCCTGGCTGGCACGAGAGGGCCACATCCAGCGTGGAGGCAGGCTGACAGTCACGGTGACAGTGACAGCCTGGGGGTGACAGCCCAGCCCCCGCACCTGTGGCCAGTTTTCCGCAGCACCTCCTCCTCGCTCTCCCTCTTCTGCTTTTCCAGTTTGCTCAGGTAGTTCTCCTTCTGAACCGCCTCCCAGGTGACCATCTTCTGGTCCAGGGGCTCCGGCAGGTCTCTCTCTGGGAAGGCAGGGCAGCCACCGGCTTGACAGGGCCCAGGGCAGCACCGCACAGCCCATCCCGGGGCCTGGGGCCCCTCCTGGCTGCCCACTGGCCGTGTTGCCCCTTCCCCAGGCTGCTGTGCTGCTGGCCTCGCCACGTCCAGCCCGGGGGCCTCACCCAGGTGCGCCCGCTTCTGCCCGGCCCCCTTTCGGAGGACCCTCCTGAGCACCAGGCCCAGGTGGCTGAAGAGGATGAAGGGCGGCGCCAGGGCCGGGCGCTCGTGGTACTCCACGATGAGGTGGTAGCGCTGAAACTTCCAGAACATGTCCGCGTTGCCCTGCACCACCTGGAAGGTGTAGCTGTGGGGGGCGGGGCGTGTGGGGGCGGGCCCACTCAGAAACGCACCCGCCCCCCCGGTTGCCCCTGGGGGGTATCTAGAGGGGGCTCAGCATCTGGGGGCTTCCACTGCCCCTCTGCGCTCCTGGACAAGCCCTCAGCCTCCGCAGACCCCGGCCCTGCTCCCTGGGGGCTGGGGGGGCTGGGGGGGCAGGGACTAGGGGAGGCGCCCACCACCTCCCAGGTGCCCGCCCTGCCTGCACCCCCATGTCGGGGGTGACCCCTACATCCAGGCCTGGTGGGCCGGAGCTGGGGTCAGCAGCCACCTGCAGACGGACGGGCGGGGCACCTGAGCATGGCGATGAGCAGGTTCATGAGCAGCACGTTGGTGACCAGCAGGAAGGCGGCCAGCAGCAGGATGACCAGCCAGTTGGCGTAGAGGTTGGGGCAGGAGCGCGAGTCCTCCCGCAGCCGCGTGTGTGCCGAGCAGTTCACGCGGGCCTCTGGAGGGCGAGCGGGCGCTGTGGGGGCGGCGTGGGCAGCGGGGCAGGGCCCTCAGGCAGCCGCGGCCGCCTCCTAGGCCCGAGGCCACCCCGGGATGGAGGGCCCTGGCCAGGCGACCAACTACCCCGGGTTTCTGAGGACTGTCTGGTTTCAGTGCTGCAAGTCCCCGACATGTGACACTCCAGCCTGAGGCAACCCAGGTGGATGGTCAGCCTGGTGGCACTGGGCCACCTCCCCACCTCTGCCAGGCTGCAGTCACAGCCAGGGCCACAGGCTCTGGGGCTGGGGCAGAGGCCCAGGTTTCTGCTGGTTGCTGGGCGGATCAGCGCTGCCCCCTCACTCCTCCACCCCCCAAAGCTCTGCTCCACTCCTGCGTGGGGAGAGCTGGTCTCACGGCAAGGGTAGCCGGCGTCTTTCATGCAGGACTTCTCAGGGCGTTTATAACAATGCCTGTCACAGGGCCCCCCACCCCCCGCCCTGCACAGGGGCGCCCTGAGGAAGACGGCTCCTCCCTCCCGGGCGTGCTTCTGCCCCTACAGGGCCCTGCAGACCGCAGCCCAGGACTGGAGGCGGTGCGGGTGGGAGGAGCAGATGGCCGCGGGGTGAGTGCTCAGCCCCTGGTGGCCCTGGGTGCTCAGGGCACCTTCAGGAGGACGTGTGTGTGCCGGAGCAGATGCGGGCACACGTCTGCACGCGGCACTGTCTTCGGGCTCCAACTGAGTCCGAGTGGCACTGGGGTCTCTGTCCCCCTGTGTGTACCCGCGTCCCCACCTCCGTGCATGCGTGCTGGGCTGGCAGGGCCTGTTTGCGCGTGTCCCTGTCTCCCTCACTGGGCGCCTCCCTCTCATTGCTCCCAGCTCCTGAGTGTGCAGGGATGGGGGTGGGGGCAGGCACGCTGCGACCTCCCCGACCCTCCGACCCTCGGCTCTCTCTGCTCAGGTACCCAAGAGGTGTGTCTGGACAGCATGTTCGTGAAACTGTAAACCTGCCCTATAGAAGTGGCTCTATGATAATGAGACGCCCGAGCCTCCTGTGACTCACGAGGTGCCACCAGGCTGGGTTGGAAATTCAATTGTCCCTGGAGCCCGGAGCTCAGGGAAGGGGTCTGCCATCATGGCTCAGCCTGGGGCTCCGGTCGGCACAGGGAGGGCAGGGCGGCTGTCCTGGGCCCAGGACCCGCAGGCTGGGGGCTGCGTGAACCCGTTTCCCCCTCTGCCAGCACATTGGTGAATTCTCCGCCCTGCAGCATGGTGGGCTCGCAGTGCACGGCCAGGGTTTAGCCCCGAGAGGCCAACCTCAGTGAGCTGGCTCCAGCCCGGCCCTGGTCACTGTGGCGCTTCCTGCCTTTAGGGCAGCCCTCAGGGTCTGGACCCCCTCGGGCAAGTCTGGACCCCCCTGCCCTCCCCAGGTGACCCCCATACCGTACCTCTATTCCCCATACCAGCCTGTGGCTGGCGCTGGCTGGGCCACAGATGTGGTCACTGGGACCGGTGTGAGCCCCCCACCCGGAACTAGAGGCGCCACCTCATTCCCTTCCTGCCCGAGGGACCCTGTGGGACTGGGGCAGTGTGGGGGTCATGGCACCGTCCCCCAGCAGGGGCCCTATGCTGAGGGTGGCAAGGCCTGGTTGAGCTAATGGCCTGTGGTTGAGCAAACATGCAGAAGGGACCGTGGGGGGGGGAGGACTAAGAAAACAGCCCGAGGAAATGGGCCTCGAGGAACGCCCCAGTTAGGAGGCGCTTTCTTCCATGACGGCGCAGCGCTCCCAGCTGCTCCCCTGATTGCTCCGATTTGCGCGTCATCCCCCTTGACAAATATTTACTGCGAGTTCTTGCCCCATTAGCTGCGAAGGTCAGGGTCAGGCCTCAGCGACAGTGTGCCAGTGACTGTCCTGGCCCCTCCACCCCCACCCCCGCTCTGTGCCCAGGAGTGCCCCGTAGGGGCTGGTACCCCGGACCCCTCACACTGGCCCCTGGTTGATGGCTCACCTCCTCTAGGGGTCCCACACCCCCTTCTCACTGCAGCCCAGCCCGAGGCCCGAGGCAGGGTGGGGGTCCGTGGGCCTGGCCCTGTGCAGGTGTGCAGGGGCTGGTGGCTGGTGTCTGGGCTCGGGGATTACCCCCTCAGCCAGTTCCCGGCCAGGGTCTCGCGTGACCCCAAAGGGCCCCTGGCGAGGGCACATGTCCAGGGTCCTACAGAAGGAACCTTGGGAAACTGGACACAGTGTGACTGCAGCCCAGGAGGCCCCATCGCAGCGGGGCCTGAGGCGCCCTCGCCCCCCACCAGGCTGGTGCTGACGCTGACCATCTATCTCGTCCAGTGGGATCTGCCCGAAGATCTGCAGGTAGGGCCGGTAGAGCACGCGGCGGAAGACCCACTCGGGGCGGCCGTCGTGGGGGTGCAGCAGCGCCTGGGTGGTCACGCCGTAGGCCACGAGCCACACGCTCAGGAAGAAGAGGAAGAAGAAGACGTCCTTCATCTGGGGGGCAGGGGAGGGGCATCAGTGGCCGCCTGGCTGGGGGGTGGGCCCCGGTCTGTGGGGGGCTCACCATCCTCTCCACGATGATGATCTTGGGGCCCAGCTGCTTATGGATGGCGAAGATGTGGATGAGGCGGAGTGTGAACACCATGAAGTCCACGGCGAGCACCGTGCGGCCCGCCTCGAACACCGAGGGCAGCATCCTGTGGGGGACAGCGGGCTGACGGCTGCTGGTGCCGGGAGCATAAGGGGCTCCCCAGGACCACAGCGCAGGTGCCAGGGACACGCGGCATTCCTGAGGCCCTGAGCGGCCCCATCCTGAAGGCGGCCTGTCCCCCAACCCACCTGGGGCTGCCCCTGCAAGGCCGCTGGGCCCCACAGACCTGCAGGTGACGCCGACAATAAACAGGAAGATGGCCACCATGTCACACTTGTTCCAGTTGTCCTCCATGTAGAGCGTGAACTTCTTCACCAGGTGTGTGTCCTCATCTGTGAAGAAGCCCTGGCAGAGGACCAGACAGTTCACTGACAGCTTCCTGGGCCCCCACCTCGCTGCAGGCGGCCTGGCCAGACCAGGCTGGGATCAGCAGGGATCGGGGCTCAGCCTGGAGCAGGGATCAGGGCTCAGTCTTGAGCAGGGATCGGGGCTCAGGCTGGAGCTGGGATCGGGGCTCAGTGGAACTGGGATCAGGGCTCAATCTGGAGCTGGGATCGGGGCTCAGTGGACTGGGTCCACCACTTACCTGCCGGATCTCCTCCAGCACCAGTGTAAAGACCCAGAAGTAGAGGGTGACCTCAGGCCCCGATGGCCCCTGGGGAGGTGGCCTGAAGTCTACCAGCAGGACATAGGTGAACAGGAAGAGGAACGCAAAGTACATGACCACGTTCCCCAGGAACACGGTCACAGGCGCACCCCAGAACTTCCGCCAGCGTGTGAGCAGGAAGGCCACACGTGGGCCTCGGCTGCCATGAGTCCTCGGTGCTTCTGCCGGCTCTTCCTCCCTGCACCACAAAGGAGGCCACGGCCAGCGGTGAGGCAGTGTCCAGGTGCCCCACAGGAGCCTCGCCTCTGCTCACGGGAGTCCAGCCTCCTGCTGTCGCCCGCCAGACCCCTCCTCCGGGTCCTCACCCGCTGCCTGGGCTGCAGAGCAGGCTCGTCTCCGTGTCCAGGCTGTCCAGCTCCTGCAGGTCCTCCAGGCCTGTCCTCAGTGGGGCCTCCTCACTGCAAGCACCAGGGACCCTCAGGGACCCTGGGTGGGACCCTTGGAAGTGCCCGCTTGGCCCCAAACATGCCGCCAGCAAGGAAGTTCAGGATGCACCGAGGAGGGTACAGGCAGATGCCATGCACAGCGGGGCCCCCAGGGGCCCTGGCAAGCCGGGTGCCGCCCCCACGGACCTGAAGGTGATGAGGTTGGTGTAGAGGAGGGCAGGGCACAGGAAGGCGCCCAGCAGCCGCAGGATGGGCGTGTCCGAGGCCATGTCCCCCCACCAGATCTTAGTCAGGAAGGCCTGAAATGGAAGCACAGGTCCTGGCCTCTCTCCCGCCGCCACCCCTCTGCCCGCGCTGTGCCCTGTGTCAGGCAGGCATGCCTTTCAGGACTCAGCTGCCTGGGTCCCCCATCCTGGTGGGCAAGAACCTTCACTGCCAGAAGGCCGGGCTTGGGGTCCGGGACCTGAGGACGTGGCACCTCCACTGAGGTGGAGACAGGGCTGGTCATGAGGCGAGCGGGCGAGTGGCCGGCAGAGCAAGTTGGCAGGTGCCTTCCAGGAACAGAAACACCCCCTTCCTGTGCCCCCTGCCCCCCCACATTGCTGGGACATGGGGAGCGAAGGGAGGCACTGCTGGCTGAGGGAGGGGGCGGTCAGCCGGGCACCCACTGCCTGCCCGCAGCCCCCCCCCCGAGGCCGGCTGCTCACCTGCACCCCATCGTGGGCAAAGAAGGCCTTGGTGTCGGCCTCGGTGGCCAGGTGCAGGCAGGTGGTCCTGCTCCAGCAACGGTTCCTGCGCACCAGCAGGGCAAAGGCGCGGTCCTCGCTGTTGCTGTAGCACTCGGAGAAGAGGCCTGCCCGGGGACCAGACACTGGACCGGACGCTGGCGCCCAGTGCCGGCCCCGCCCTCCAGCCACCTCCGTCCGACTTGGACCCTGCAGGATGGGCCACTCTGCCCTGCGCCCACCTCCCAGGGGGCCGTCTCTGCCAGGCCTGCATGCACTGGATGCTGATTGTCCCTGCCTGGCCGCCCAGGGCCCTCCCGCCCCTGTCAGCCCGGCAGGACCATGGGAGCAGCAGTCACCCCTAAGTGTCCCCAGCCCCCACTATAGGGCCCAGCATGTGCCAAGGTGTGGGGCTGTGTTGTCATCGCTGTGCCCATCTGTCCCTTCATTAGGGTTAGGACATTAGGGCCACCTCCCCCTGGGAGGAGCTCACAGGCCTAGAAGGGTCCCCGAGGTCGCCTCCACCGCACGGGTGGGCCAGACGCCAGGCCCGGGGCTCACCCAGAGCCAGCCGCTCATACTTGGCCTCCGTTTCCAGGTGTGCCATCTCTCTGAGGATCTTGCAGGCGGCCAGAGCGGTTGCCACACCCTCCTGGCCCTTGGAGACGGAGACGGGTCTAAGGAGGTGGCCCAACGCCCCCACCCTCCCTGGGGGCCTGACCTGGGGAGGCCAGGCTCAGCAGAGCGTGGCTGCCACAGCCGCCACTCACCATGGCCCAGAAGTAGCTGGCCATCTCGTGCCGGTTCTGCAGCACGGCCCACAGGAACAGGTCCCTCCACGGGTTCTCGCTCTTCTGGCTCAGGTCCAGCTGCCACTTCTGGGCAGTGGGCCGCCTGGCCAGGCCCCTCTCCTGGAGGACAGGGATGTCAGCCTCTGGCGTGGCCCCCGCCCATCCCCCTGACCTGGCTTACCGCCTGGTAGAGCCCGCGGCAGGCGTCGTGCAGGAAGTCCTTGAGCACGCGGGAGACCTCGTGCAGGGAGAAGGCGGGCGGCCCCGCGGGCGGCCCCCGGGCCTGCAGTGCCAGCCAGCCCTCCTCATGTTTGCGCTGCAGCAGCTCGAAGAGTGGGCTCTTGGGGGGCACGGCGCGGTACAGCTGCTGCAGCCGCCCGTACGTCAGGAAGTCGGCCACATTGGCGCCGTGGTCCACAAAGAGACGCACGAACTCGGGCTTGTTGCTCACCAGCGCGTCCATCATCACCTCCTCCAGGTCGCAGGACTGGGCAGCCGCAGGGACATGCCCGGGATGGAAGGTGACGGGGAGAGTGAGTGGGAGCCCGCCAGGCACAGGGCCCCTCGGCAGACGCCCGCTCCCGGTCCCCCAGCCTGTCACTCTTGGCAGAGCGGACACAGGTGGGCAGAGCTCAGGGCCACCGATGGAGCATGTGATAGTCCCTAGCCTGCTTGTGGGAGTGATAACTGATGCGCTCCCCACCCTCAGTCCCCCTCAGCGACCCCGGGGAGACAACGGACCCAGCCAGGGGCCCTTGGGACACTGCCTGCTCTCTCTGTGGACCAGAAACAGGGCTCAGGGTGCCCAGGGGTGGGCAGGGTACCTTCCACTCGACGTCCCCGTTAAAGATTTCACTCTTGGCGATATCCACGCGGTCCCAGGCCACCGCCAGCTTGAGCTCGTCCAGGTAGTCCTGTGCCTCCTGGCTGTGGCTCTTGCAGGCTGCAGGCAGAGCAGGCAGAGGGGATGAGGACAAACCCAGGGGCCCTCAGGCGGCTCTGTCAAGTACCCAGCGTGCCCTGGTCTGCACCCTCTGAATAACGGCGAGAGGCACACACCATCACCAGTCCCCCGGGACCAATGCTTGCAGCCCCAGCCGGCCAAAACGCCAGCCCTCGGTGCCCCAGAACCCCGACGGGACAGGTGGGCACAGCGGCTGGCCTTCCTCTCCCCCGTGTCGGCCTGCCAGCAGCCAGCCCCATGGCATGTGCTCTCCAAGAAAAGCCCATGGAGCCAAAAAATGGAGACAGCTTGTTCCATCGACGGGAAACAACATGCAGTCTTCCGCACGGTGGAGTAAAGCCGGGCCTTAAAAGGGGTGACGGGGCGGCCGGGTGGCTCAGCTGCTGAGAGCGCGTGCTCTTAACAGCAAGGTTGCCAGTTTGATTCCCGCATGGGATGGTGGGCTGCGCCCCCCACAACTGGATTGAAAGCAGTGACTGGACTTGGAGCTGAGCTGCGCCCTCCACAACTAAGATTGAAGGACAACTTGACTTGGAGCTGATGGGTCCTGGAAAAACACACTGTTCCCCAATAAAGTTTAATAAAAACAGAGGTGATGCTCTCACATGCCGTGCGGATGGACCTTGAAGACTTGCTGCTCAGTGAGAGAAGCCGGACACCAAAGGCCACAAGCTGTATGATCGCATCGATTGGAAATGCCCCAAATGGGCAAATCCACAGAGACAGGCAGTAGATGGGTGGCTGCCGGGGTCTGGGGCAGTATGGGGAGAGACCAGCGGGCGCCAGGTTTCTTTTGGGGGTGGAGAATGTTCTGGAATTTCTAGTTGTGGTTGCACAACCTTGTGAAAGAACTAAAAACTACTGAACTGAACACTTTAAATAGCATTTGAAATTGTGGTAAAATAGCTAACATGAAACTTGTCAAATACAGACGGCTTCATGTATCTGTGTCCAGACACCATGGCCATCTCTGCATCACCCCAGCTGTGTCATATGTGCTGCTGGAGCGAGTGCGGAGTCACACACACACACACACACACACACACACACGTCAGAGCAATGCCGTCCCAGCTGCTGCCTCCTACCTGGTGGTGACCCTGCCTGGGTGCAGGCCCCTGGAGGCCGAGGCCAGGACCGGGCAGGGTGTGGGTGGCCGCCCCGCCAGCAGCAGGGCCCTGGGCTGTGGGGTGGGCAGCAGTCGGCCCCCCAGCTGTGCGCTGCCCTCCCCGCTCCATCAGGCCCTCACCTTTGACCAGGGCCTTGAGGATGACGGTGTCCAGCTCCTCGGAGCCCTCCTGCTCGAAGTCATGCACCGTGAGCAGGTGGGAATGGCAGGCGATGTTCTGCAGCTGGGACGCCAGGACGCAGGCCCGGAGGGGACGGAGGCACAGGCTGAGCGCCAGCCTGCCCTGTGCGCCCACCGCCCCCTGGGCCTAGGGCAATACCACTGCAGACTGGGGGCTGGCTCCAAGGACCCCCATTCACGAGGGCCCAAAGCAGGAGCGAGCACGGGGGCTTTGCAGCAAGAGGGGCGGGGCTGTCTGGGTGGGAAGGGGACACAGGCTCCCCCAGGGCCAGCCCCGCCCAGGAATGGGGTACAGAGTGGGGAGAAGGGGTCGCCTTCCTGACTGGTCTTCTCTGTTCTCTGGAGGGTGCCTACCAGCTCTGTCCAGTGCAGGATGTCCTCCCAGGAGAAATGCTCGCTGGGGAACTTCTCCTTAAACTGCTTCTCGGCCACCTGGGGCCCCAGGAGGTGGGGCTGGCTCATGAGGGCAGCCAGCACGTCGGCGACGCCCCCCGAGCCTGCCAGGATCAGCCACGGGGCCTCGTGCTCCACAGCCCTGGAGATCCTCTGGGCAGCAGGGAGGGGACAGCGGACCCCAGATCAGCTGCCCCCGGTGCTCCCAGCCCTCCCTTCCACTCCCCGTCCCAGGTGGGGAGGACCCTATAGGGGGCCCCCGCTGGCCAGGGGGCCCCTGCCAAGCCCTCACCTCTCCCCACCTACCTCCAGGGTGCTGGGGTTGCCGTTGACCAGCAGACAGAGGACGGGGATCTCAATGCTGCTGGTACCTGGGGACAGAGCACCAGTGAGGTCCCCCAGGTGCCTGGGGCGCGTGGGGAGCCTGGGACCCTTTCCGTGGGGTGAGCACCCAGGCCTCGGACCATCAATCCGCCACATTTCTGGGCAAACACTGGCCAAGAGGCTTTTTCTAGTGAAGTGGTGTCTCCAGGCTGAAAGCCAGGGGCCATGTATCACAGGCCCTGTCGTTCGGGAACAAAGACACCAATCCCACACCCACTGTCCAAAGTCGCTGCTCGTGTGGCTACTTAAAGTAATGTAAGTAGTTAAACATTCGGATTTGGTTCCTGGCCTCACCGGCCACATTCCAAGTGCCCAGCCACTGTCCCCATCACGGCAGAAGGTCTGACAATGCTGATGAGAGAGCTAAAGGTTTCTCCCCTAAACGTGAACCCGACATGAGACTCCTCCCGAGACTCCTGGACCTGCCGCGCCTGCGGGGAGGGAGGCCCTCTAGCTCCCAAAGGTGCCCCCTGATTGATGGCGAGCACACACCGGGGTGTGTGGGCCAGCCGGGCTCCGGCCACCCAGAGCGTAGACATTGCACCTACGTGTGACGGTTTAAACATAGCTTGGGTTGTGTTTTCATTTTTAAAGAGCGCTTAGTTGCTAAATACTTCATATTGTAGGTAAAGAACATAAGCAATTCTATATTTTGTTGGTAAGTATTAGTTACACATTAGTCTTTTTGAGCGAATCCTGGTTTCGAACCCCTCACAGCAGTGCCCATTCTCCGGGCAACACTGCCCCCTGGTGGCAGCACGCCTCACGGCTGGCGGAGGGAAACAGGCCAATCTCATCTCATTTTCTTCTCAAAGCCTTGAGCCCCCAGCCAGAGCCTCAGGCCAGGGAAGATCTAGTGGACACGGACCCACAACTACTCCTGGCAGAGCTACCACCCCCCAGTTGTGTCCCCACACCCGGGCCAGCCATCCACCTCCAGGCGTCCAATGGCCCGCGTCTTAAGGCTCAGGCACGCTTGTGCCCTCTGCCTGGAATGCCCTTTCCTGCCCACCTGGCGGTCCCTCCAGCCCAGCCCTCACGCCGTGCCCCCTCCCCACCGTGTTCCCCGGCGGCCTCCCCAGCGGGTCTCACCCCCATAGCTGGTCCTCTGCTCCGAGATGTGTTTCTCCAGCCTCAGCCACAGCTCTGTCTGCCCGTCCCCCTTCCTGGGGGGCCCTGGCTCCACCAGGATGAAGTGGGAGTGGTTGTTGTCCAGGGAGCAGAGGGGGCCTTGGCCACCGCCATTGTCCGTGGGGTAGTGGACAGGGCTGTGCTCCTGGGCCCCCAAGCACACCGTGAGGCCGGGCAGGGCTCTGTCCAGTCCTGTTCCCACCCTGACGGGGGAGGGCGTGGCTGCTGGCCAGGGGCCCCAGGGGAAGGCACAGGCAGGAGGGGCCCCCCAAAAAGCACGTAGGGCTGTGGGAAGCTCCACTCAGCAGGGGCTGCAGGGCGTCCTCTGGCCCTGCCTTAGATAGACCCTCGGGGTGGAGCAGAGGCCACTCGGTGGCCAAGACAGGCCCTGGGCTGGGTCCTTGGAGCCCAGGTTCCCACCCCAGGTCTGTGCGGGCTGGAACCCTGGCCGCCTCTCCCCATGCTGCTCCCTAGGCAATGCTGCCACCTGCTGGCCGAGTGCTGGGCACACAGCTCCCTGGGCCCCCCTCCCCTCTCATCCTCCCCCTCCGTCTCCTCTGGTTCCAAGTCCTATTTTTTCCACTGTCCCTCATGTCTCAGTCCTTCTGACCACCTGTTTCCAGCCTGTGAGCCTCGAGGGCCGAGTCTGGTTTGTCCGCGGCAGACTTGGCACCGAGAGGGACTTGGGAGATGTTCGCCCAATAATGAGTGGTCAGCGGATGGCAGGGTGTGGTCAGCCTGTGAGACCGTGCTGGTGGCCTCCACAGCGGCCTCCCTCCTGCCCTGAGGTGGGTAATACTTGGGGCTGTGACCCCTTCCTGCCTCCCGGGCCCACCTTGCCCCATGCCCGCAGCGTTCCGAGCCGGACACTTACCTGGGCGTCGTCCAGAAGCCGACGGTGCAGCACACGGCCCAGTGAGGCGATGCCGATGGCCACCACGCGGGCCTTGATGGACGTGCTGGCCAGCGAGTGGTCACGCACCGCCTGCCCCACGTACCGGGCGAGGCCCGTGCGGAGAGCACTGGTCAGAATCCAGGCGCCTGCAGGCATGGGGGCTCGCTGAGCTCGGGGCCCCAGATCCCCCCAGTCAGCCCGCCCAGCCACCGTGTCCTGGGGCCGTGTCCTGGGTCACCCACCGTGTCCTGGGGCACCCACCGGTGCCATCCAGGACAGCGCAGGAGAGCGGGCCAGGCTGTCCAGGTGCCCATGTGGGGCCAGGACCCGGGGAGGTTTGTCCAGATGGCAAAGCCCTCAGCCCGGCCGGCTCGCAGGCCTTTCCTCTATGGCACAATCACGTCTGCGCTGACGGAGCTCAAAAGCCCCCGGCCACGTGCTGGCTTTTCTGCAGGCCCAGCGGCCCAAACAGAAGCCCTGTGATGTGACCCTGACCACAGCACTGGTTGGCTGGAGTGCTCACCGTGGGCAGCGGGCAGAGAAACAGTCAGCACCCCCAGAGGCACCCCGAGTGGAGGGGCCGCGCCTCTGCCCACAGGCTGGCCAGGACCCTGTTGGGGGAGGCTCTGGACCTGCAGGGCCCCTCGGCCCCTCTGCTGCACCCCCCAGGAGCTGCTCCCACTGCTGGCCGTGCGGAGGGAGGGCTGCCCTGGGGACCACCGTCCAGGAAAGGCCTCGGGAGTCAGTGGCTGGGGCGCTCCACGCTCGGGGGGCTGTGGGTCCCTAGGGCCCTGGACTGTGGGGGCCTCACCTGTGCTCTGAGCTGCCTTCACCAGGCCCTTGCGCAGGACGTCCCGCAGCCAGGATTTCATGGCGAAAGGCCGCTCCACACCCACCAGGGACACCACGAGGTTGGGGGTCGGCAGGTGCCATTCGGCCAGCAGGAGGTCGAAGAGCGCGGAGGGGGCCACGCTGCTGGGCACCTTCACGAACTGCGGGGCATGGTGGCCGGCAGCCTTAGGCCTCAGGACGGGGCCACCGGCACAGCAGTGGGCTCTGGGCACGGGGCGTGGGGCAGGCAGCAGGACAGAGGCCTGAGGCCCTTCGGGGGCCAGGGCTTGGGCGGGTCCTGCCTTGAGCGGCCCTGTGACCTGGGCAGTCCCAACCGCACGCTGGGCCTCGCTTCCCCCTTGAGAGAGGTGAGAGCTGGACCGAGGAGGGGCCTGGACACGCTGGGGCACTGCCCGTGTGGGGGCTCTGAACATGGCCCCTGAGTGCGCAGCTCTGGGGGTGAGCAGGCAGGAGAGGAAATGGGGTCACTGGGGGTCCAGCGAGAGCGTGGCAGTCAGTCCCCGGGGAGTGGGGGCCAAGTGGAGTCTTGTCGGGGGCTGGAGGGGGTGGGCTGGGCAGCCCCTTACCCTGCCTCGCTTCTTCCCAGACCCTCCGAATTCGATCTCGCCGCGGCACAGGCCCGGCCACCGCCCCTCGGCAGCACCCCTGGGGCTGCCAGGACAGGTGCCCCCAGACTCCTGCATGGGGACCTCTCTGCAGGGACAGAGGACGTGAGAGGTGAACCTGCCTCCCTCCCTGCTGGACGCCAGGGCCGCCCTCACCAGGGAAGCCCCTCGCCTACAGCCACATACGGGCAGAGATTTGGGGCCACCGAGAGGGCTTCTCTGCCCCAGTGCCCTTCCCACCAACCCGCCCTGTCTGGAGCCCCCCCACTATGACCTCCTCTCCTGTCAGAGCCCCCTTAATCTCCTGCTTCAGTTGCCAGACATGCCCACACAGCCCGACCCCCTTCCCGGGTCGCGATGGGACATGTCCTGGCCCCTCCGCCTGCCTCCCGCTCCCACTACTCACCCCTCCCCGGGCACGTCAGACCAGCCACTCCTGTCACCACTTCTGTGGAGGCCTTGGCGGGAGGTGTCCTGGAAACCCCAAAAGCTTAGCGGAGTCCCCTAGACTTCCAGACACGCAGCCCACCCACCCTACACACCCCTGTTGGCCCAGGGCAGGGGTGAGGACCTTGGGTGTGTCTGGGCGGAGAGGGGTGGGCAGGTGAGAAGGGGAGGCTCAGGTGCAGGGGCCCATGGGAGGCGAGGGGGCGCGAGGGGGACCGAGGGGGGCCAAAGCGGCCTGGGGAGGAGACCACCCCTCCTTGCACAGGAGGCCCAGGGAGGGAAGGCTCTCGCCCCTCCCCCAGGTCTCTTCACACTGAGTTCCTCCACACTCCACACCCAGTGCTGTGCCCACGTCCTCTCCTGCAGCCGGTGGGGTCGGACACATCAGGCCCTCTCCACGCAGCAGAGACCTGAGGACCAGGGGCCCAGGACTGGCCCTTGTGACAAGGAGCTGGGTCCCACCAGGCTGTACACACCCCCAGTGCCCCTCCGACCTGCCCCCCAACATCTCCCACACTCCTGGCTCCAGCCTCACTGTAAAGGGTTTCCTCTACAAACCGGGTGGGTCGTGTGCCCACAGGGGGAGCCACGGTCTTCCAAGACGCTGTGGGGACCTGGGTTCTGGGGACCCGAGAGGCCCTGCCTCCGTGCAGCCACCCCCATGCAGCCACCCCCGTGAAGCTTGGTCCCCTGACTGCTCCAGAGCCACCCAGGCCACCCGGGGGTGTCGGCAGCTCCCCTTCCCACTGAGCTACTGTCCGGCTCCTCCGTGGTCAGCCCCGCCGGCCACCCCCCACCTCAAGAGGCGCCCTGGTGAGGACGGGCCCCTGGGACAGGAGGGGGTCCTTTTGTAAAACACGGTCTGCTGGTGGCTCCTGTCCTCAGGGCGGGGCCCCTTGTGCACACGGGAGGTGAGCAGGGCGCCTGCCGGCTCCACAGTGACCGGTACTGCTGGGGTCCCCCCACCGTGTCCTCCAAGAGGGTGTGTGTCAGCCCTAAGTGCTGGTACCTGGGGACGGGGCCCCCTGTGGAAATAGGCTCTTTGTAAGGTGTGGACTTGCTCAGGTGCAACGTGAGGACGAGTCCTCATCCAGGGCCTGGTGCCCTGGTCAGGAGAGCGACTACCGAGTTGGGGGGGGCACCCGCCCAGGGACACCTGGGCCCCAGAAGCTGGAAGCGGCAGGAAGGAGCCCCCCTGGAACGTGGCCCTGAGATGCTTCGATTTGGGACTTCCGGCTCCAGAACCATGAGAAACTCAATGTCTGTTTCTTTAAGACGTCCGGTGTGTGGCCATTGGTGACGGCCGCCCCGGGACACTTGCACAGCCATCACCTCTGAGGGCCGGGCGCAGAGCACGCTGGTCAGTGTGTGCCGGTGTCCGACCCAGGCCAGGGCCAGCTTCCCGCTGGCTGTGTGGCTGCACGCAGGCCCCCCACCCCGACCCTGTCTTGGCAGCCGGGCCTCGGGGGGCCTGGGACCCAGCCCGGGGGTGAGGTGGGGTGCACATCCACCAGAATTTAGTGCTGCTGGCCTGAGTGTGGGGGGCGGGGTTCAAGACGGGGGTTGTACAGGAGTGTCCTGGGACAGCTGTAACGAAGCCCCACACACTGGGCCTCCAGGTGTCACAGGGCCCCACTCCCTCCAGAGGCTCCGGGGGAGGGTCCGTCCTGCCTCTTCAGATTTTGGGGGGCTCCCAGATTCATTCCTGGGCTCATGGCCGCATCCCTCCAGCCTCGGCCTCCGTCTCCACGTGGCCTGCCCCGTGTGTCTTTCTGTCTGAATGTCCCTCTTATAGGGACACCAGCCATTGGGTCAGGGCTCAGGTCCTCCAGTGTGACTTCATCGTAACCAGTCACATCTGCAGAGACCCTCTTTCCAAATAAGGCTACATTCTGAGGTTCCATGTGGACATGAATTTTGGGGGACACTCTTCAACCCCCAAGTGCAGGCAGCAAGGCGGGGAGTGTCCCCGGGGATGGCCCCCACTCCCGCCAGGGCACTGTCACGCCTGGACACCAGCAGGGTCACTTCTGTCCACATCTGGACCCATGGCCCACAAGCAGGGGCGGGGGGGGGGTGGCACGGCTCGGCGTGACCCTGTCCAGGGTGTGTGGGGGTTGGGGGTCCAGGGGCCTGAATGTCGATGTTTTCATACCCACGAGCCTCAAGCAGGCTGGTTCAGGGAGGGGGCCTGGCAGGGACAGCCCCTGCCTGGGGAGGGGGTCCTGGGGGTGCTCCCAGGCCTTTCTCCTTGCTGACCACACAGCTGGTCCCGAGCAGGGGTGTGGAGGGCCAGCCTCAGCTTCCCTGGGGCCACAGCCACCGCCCTCAGTCCACACCCTATCAGGCCTGGGCATGGCCCCCAGCTTCCCAGCCCGGGTCACGGGGGCACGGGGGCACTGTGCTGGGTCCTGGGGGCGGCACCGCGCCAGATGTCAGGCAAATGGAGCCAGCAAGTGGGAAGGGCATGCAAAGTGGGCAGGATTTGCATGAGCAGGTGCCCTTGTTCCTGGAGGGGGTGGGGGCAGTGGGGCAGCTGGAGGGGTCCTGCATGACCCCTGGCTGGAATCCTACCCCACGATCCTGAGAGGGAAACGGGCAAATCCTCAGCCGGACAGCAATGACGCTGGGGGCTCCTCATCTGGGCACAGGGCCAAGTGGCCACTTGCTGGTCCGAGGCCATCGGGGAAAGGGCCTCAGTGTGGACAGAGCTGAGCAGCCAGGCCTTGGGGTCACAGCCCAGCGCCCCCCCCCCCAAGCTGTGTGACTGTCCCAGCCCCCGAGACTCTCTGGGCCTGTCACCCCGACCGTGAGATGCTGGAAGGCGGCAGTAAGGAGAAGGCATCGACTGGCCCCACACTCAGCAGGCCAGTTGTCGGCACAGTGGCCCCTCCAACGCCCCCCAGTGAGGAGGACTTGGGGATCTCCCTGGGCCAGGTGTGCAAGGTGTGATCAGGGAGGGGGTGGTGAGGGGACTCAGCCCCCCACCCCACACTCACCATCTCTGAGCTTCTCCTGGCTGCTGGGCACACTGACCCGACATCCTGGACCCAGGGCGGTGGGTCCGCCCTCCTGCCCAGACCGCCCCCCCACCTCCCCATGCTGGCTTTGGGCCAGGGGCGGCGGGGCAGCCTCTTCCCAAACACCCAGCCCCTCCGTAGCCCCGAGATAGTGGAATTCTCCCCAGGCTCTCACGAGGAAGTTGAGGCAAGACGCAGGGATGGCCCAGCCCGTCCCCTCCCGTCCCACCTCCCCCTTCTGCCTAGGAGGAGAGGGCGCCCCTCTCCTGCTCCCACCTGGGAGCTGCTTGTGCGGGGCACCTACCTGCCTGCTTTCTCCCCGGTGCCCAGACATGCTGCTGCTGCCAAGGAGCAGGGTGGAGGCTGTCGTTGGCGGGGCCACCTGCCTGCCAGCCGCCAGCTCCTCCTCCTTCCCGCCCACCACGCCCACCACGCCCACCACGCGGGCAGCCAATGCTGTGACCAATACGGGCTGGGGGCGAGGGTATCTGCCAGCCGCCAGCTCCTCCTCCTTCCCGCCCACCACGCCCACCACCTGGGCAGCCAATGCTGTGACCAATACGGGCTGGGGGCGGAGGCACCCACCTGGGCGCAGCTGGGCCTACAGCCCTGCTCTGGCCAAAGTCAGAGGGGTAACCCCATGTGGGGGTGCTGCTGGGCCACCCTGCTTACTGTCATTCTCTCCGTGGACTGTTCTTGGGGGTGGCCTGTGTCCCAGAGCCGAGTCCAGACAGTCCCACTCACTGACGTGGCTCACTTTCCTACGGAACCTCCGTTCAGCTCTCTACCAAGTGGAAAGGGCTGACCCCAGGGCGTGCGACCCAGCGTCCCATGGAGGACCCGAGGGCAGAGATGGCCTTCTCCACGCCTGGGGTCCTGCAAAGCCCTGTGGGATCAGCCCCCAGGGCGTGTCGTCCTCTTAGGAAGGTGGCATGGAGTGGGCTAGCTGCCGGGCAATGTGGGCACTGCATGAGCGCTGTCCTTTCATCCAGGGGCAGGATGGGGTGCCATGGGGCGTGTGCCCTCTGGAGTCCCACAGTCCTGGGCTCACATCCTGCGTATCTTCAGGAACCTGACCACTCCAGTGTCTCTGAAAAGTGGGGAGCCGGCCTCTGGGAGCTTGTGGGTAACGCACGAGGAGAACAGAGCCTGGTTGATACTTCCGTGTGCCCCTTCCCCAAAGAGACCCTCAGGACCCCCTCCCAAGGACTCCTCCCAGAGACCCTTCTCCTGAGCTTGGGAAGGGGTGGGGGACGGAGTCCAGGCCCTTGACACTGGGAACTCCCTACTAACGGTGTCCCCGCCTGTCTGGCCTGTCAGCCACCAGAGGGCGCCCCAGGACCACACGCAGAGTCCCGGAAGGCGATGGCGGTCCAGGCAGTGGAGGCCCCGCCGGCTTTGTCCCCCGGTGCAAGGGCTCAGGTCGCTCCCACAATAGCCACCTGAGGGTTAGGTATGTCACCTGGAGCCCGTCCAGGTAGGAGAGGGGCTGTCTGAGGTCCCTCAGGTCCCCCAGGCTCCAGCAACATGGGACTCCAGGCAGGAACCCCATAAGCCCTCGGGCCTGGTTCTGAGGGGGAAACGCCGATCCTGGGGGAGCTGGCAAGGTCT